AAGAAACTAAGGCGCAAGCACCCAAACGCCGCTTTCAAACCAAAAACCCGGAAGCACTTTCCAACCGAAAACCCGGAAGCAACCGAAAACCCGGAAGCAACCGAAAACCCGGAAGCAACCGAAAACCCGGAAGCAACCGAAAACCTGGAAGCTCCGTCGAAACAAGATGGCGGTGCCCAAGCTTTGCAGCCTAGTAAAAAATGATCCACGGACCGGTACCGGTCCTGGGACCGATGGTTGGGGACCCCTCCTGTAGACTGTCCCAAGTCCCAGGCTTGGTTGAGCCTTGATGGATGATGATTATTATGGCTCTACCCGGAGTAGATCTTTGTTATGTAAAATAGACTGGCCCAGGCCAGAGTAATGGCCCATTAGCAAAGGTGAAGGGTTGGCTGAGTTTCTGCCTCTGAGTGTCTACTTTTCTTTTTAGGGGAAATATTCTGCCTTTTTAGTACATCCTAAAATATTTCCTTTTCCTAGGAGGGGGGTGGGTGCTAACTTCCAACAGGTCAAAAATCAAAATTGCACAATAAAAAAATAAACGCATCGATGTGCCTGTGTATGTTAAAGGAAGTTTGGCCTTCATTAAAGTAGAGATTAGTGACATTTCAAGAAAAGGAAGGGCTCCGGGGTTCATCGTGCCCACTCTTTCCAGAGCTCCTTTCTCCCAGCCACAGAAACATTCCTTATTTTGCTTTCAAGAAAAAGAAAAAAAAATAAATTCTGGTGATGCAAGTCAACCTCTGAGAAATCCCTTCCACATTATTCATTCACTAATGTGCGGAGTCGGAGTTCAAGCCAAAGGTCCTGTGAAGGGAAACAGCCCTTGCTAACATCAGTGGGGTTTTTTTATTATTATTATTATTATTTTGAGTGGCCCAAGGAAATCTTAGGAGCTTTGTGGGATGAATAATGGATCCTTCACGAGGGGCAAAGCTGGAGGCGTCTCTGCTTAGACATTTAGACTGCATTTTGGGGTTTCTACGTGATCGGAAGCGAGGAGAGACGGGAACGGAGGGGGAAAAAAGAGAGAGGGAATCACAGCTACGGACTAGGAAGTCTGTTTCCAGTCACTTGGCCTGTTTCCACTTCCATATTAACTGATATGAATTACGACCGCAATGGGAGCCAGAATTTCCTTTGCTAGAGCAAGGTGGTTATTAAGTAAGTTACACCGCAGTTGTTAGGGGAATCGTTGCATTGATTAAGTTGTGAAGTGAATCTTCCCCGTAGCGTTTGCTTGTCAGAAGGTTGCAAAAGGGGGAATCACACGAGCCACATACACTGCAACGGTCGCAAGTATGAACCAATTGCCAAGTATCTGAATTTGGATCACCTGAATTTGGATGCTGCAAAGGTAACTTTTTTTCAGGGCCGCCATAACTTCAAACAGTCGCTAAAGGAACTGTTGTAAAAATTCCAGGGCTACCTGTATTTCGCGTTTCCCTTCCAGGAACATCCAGTGATACAATCCAAAGCAACCCACCTTGCAAATGAGATTTAAAAGAGCTTGGAAATCAGATAACAGATAATTAGAGTTGGAAGGGACCTTGTAGGTCATCTAGTCCAACCCTCTGCCCAAGCACTCTTTCTGACAAATGGCAGTCCAATCTCTTCTTGAAGGTGTCAAGTGATGATGCTCCCACAGGGCAACTTCTGTTCCATGGGTCGATTGTTCTCACTGTCAGAAAATTTCTCCTTATTTCCAGGTCGAATCTCTCCTTGTTCAGTTTCCATCCATTATTCCTTGTCTGGCCTTCAGGTGTTTTGGAAAAGAGCTTGACCCCTTCCTCCTCTCTGTGGCAAGCCTTCTAATATTGGAAGACTGCTGTCCTGTCTCCCCGGGTCCTTCTCTTCACTAGACTAGCCAGGCCTTTTCCTGTAACCGTTCTTCATAAGTTTTAGCCTCCAGTCCTCTAATCGTCCTGGTTGCTCTTCTCTGCACTTTTTCCAGAGTCACAACCTCTTTTTTATAGTGTGGTGACCGAAACTGGATGCAGTACTCCAGGTGTGGCCTTACTAAGGCTTTATAGAGTGGTATTAGTACCTCCCTTGATCTTGATTGTATCCCTCTGTTAATGCAATTTCGAATTGCATTAGCTTTTTTGGCGGCTGCTGCACACTGCTGGCTCATATTTATCTGGTTGTCTACTAAGACTCCACAGTTACTGCTACTGAGCCTGGTTTTACCTAGTTTCTATGTGTCCTTTTGGTTTTTCTTGCCTAAGTGTAGGACTTTACTTTTCTCTACATTGAATTTCATTTTGTTAGATAGGGCTCAGTGTTCTAGTCTGTCAAGATCCATCTGGACCTTAAGCCTATCTTCTTGGATGTTAGCTATTCCTGCCAGCTTAGTATCATCTGCGTATCTGTCCTGCGTATCTAGAGCGGCCCAGATGTCTAATCCTTATGACTAATAATTTACACTGGAGCTGGCTTGGTTGATCTTATATTGTCTGGGACACCCAAGAATAGATTTTTATCGCAGGAGGCTTGCAAGCCTTGCCCACGGATGCACGAAGGAGGGGGACGCACAGCCAAGCTGGAGACAGCAAGTCCCATTCAGGACTGACCCGTCCTTGCCCGCAATCCTAACGGAAATGGTATCTGCAGATCTTGATGTCTGTTTACCGCCCCTTGTGCTTATCCTAGCCTCCTCCTGAAACAGGGGCCCTTTTGTCTGCTTGAATTCCCTTCTGTTGTGGTGGTGGTTAAGGAAGTGTTTATGGGAGAAGGGGGAAGCTGGAGTTTGACACCCGCCTTCCTATTATGCAAGGCCGATTTGCTTCTTTATATATTGTTCTCCGTTAATGTTAATTAGACCTATAAATTACTTCCATCCATAAGTTCATTAACTAAACGGAGGAGGAGGAGGAGGAGGAGGAGAAGGAGGTCTTGCAAGAGACCTGTCCAGAAAGACCTCAGAAACTGTTGACACCTGCCCGAATGTGAAGTAGGGCAGCTCTCTGGTTGTGCACACAACGTTGTGGGTCAGATGTTTCGGATTCTACTTCTGACCCCTGGATTGATTTCCTGCGTGGCTAGACACATCTCCTCACCTCAGTTTCCTCAGCGGTGAAACCATGAATAACCGGATGTGTAGGATACACACGAAGAAGGAAGCGGTTGGTGGGATAAATACTTCATGTTCATAAAGATCTTCAAGACCGGCTGCGTTAAGAAAAGGAAAACATTGCCCCACTTTTAAAGCTGGACTCTTTCCTGCCATTTCGCAGGAGGAAATCCATCTCCAGATAAAGGAATTTCCCAGGAAAATTTTGTGGATGTGTTTTCCCATTCAAAAATATCCATGCTTCTGTGGAGTCTTCCTTGAAAGCATCTCGGAGACTTAAATTTTGGGCCTCTCTGACTTAAAAAACCAAGGGGGGCAAATCCTGTTGGGTGGGGATCTTTCTTTGTGACTCAGTAATTTAACTTGGCTCAATCAGATATTCTTCGGTGAGAAACTGTTGTTACAATGACAGAGTTCAAATCGTGTGCAATATGCAACGCGCATTCCCGGAGTGGCTAAGAAATCTTATGAAAAACAAAATACAGACATCCGCAGATACAAATTCGGAGAGCCTAGCTTGCAGAAATCTTCCCACGTGTCAACAGAATTGTACCCACAAATTTTGGCTAACCGCGACTCTACAAATACATGAAGGGTATACTCTAGTGTGCCAGATTCTTCCAACGATTGCGTCTGATTTAGGAAATCTTGAAAGCACAATCCTATCTATAGGATATATATTTCCTGTCCCAACCAACGAGGCTTGAGTACATGTGATGCGGGTCGTGGGTATAGATAGCTACTTTTCCCCGCCCAAGTATTTCTGAAGGAAATGAACACAACTTGCATTGTGCGTTCAACTATTCTTGATCACAGGGGGAGAACAGAGAAGATACAGTTGAAGTCTCCTCCTTGAGTAATGCCTAGAGCATGGGTGTCCAAGCTTTAGGCCTGCCTGGGCCACATCTGAGTGAAGAGGAATTGTTTGGGACCGAATATAAAATATATAAGAGCAGCGGTGGTTAGAATGCAATTTTGCAGGCTAGCTCACTGCTTTCTGCCAGTTCAATCTTAATTAGTTCAAGTTTGACTCAGCCTTGCATCCTTCCAAGGTGGGTAAAATGAGGACCCAGATTGTTGGGGGGCAATAGGCTGACTCTGTAAACCACTTAGAGGACTGTAAAGTGGCATTGTGAAGTGGCATATGAGTCCAAGTGATATTGCTATATAATATATAAATGTATATAAATAACACATTTCCTTCATTTTAAAATTTTTGTTGTATCTTCTGGGGCTGCATTACTAGCTGTTCAGGGCTGAGGGTTGGGCATGCCCAGCTTAGAGGTCAACATCATTTAGAATGGAGTAATTTAAATAATCATTTTGAGCTGCACTTTGGAAGAAAAGAAGCAAATTATTGTGGTTAGCTTCTTGAGGAATCTTTGAAAGAAAGACTGTCTGTCCATGCATGTGTGTGCCTGTAGGTCTTAATCCTATCCCTCACATCACAGTGTTGTCCTTCGTGCAAAATATTTGCCCCTCCTGCAGTGGTGGGATTCAATTTTTTTTTTTACTACCGGTTCTGTGGACATGGTTTGGTGGGCATGGCAGGGGAAGGATACTGCCAAATCCCCATTCCCTCCCCATTCCTGGGGGAAGGATACTGCCAAATCCCCATTCCCTCCCCATTCCTGGGGGAAGGATACTGCCAAATCCCCATTCCCTCCCCACCCCACTAACCTGCTTTCCAGCTTCGTTTTCCTGTGCAGGGCAACCAAAGAAGACCCAGCTGATCAGCTGGGACTCAGGAGAAAGGGAATAGATGGGGCAGAGCCAGTCAGAGGCGGTATTTGCTGGTTCTCCGAACAATGCAAATTTTCCGCTACCGGTTCTCTAGAACCGGTCAGAACCGTTTGAATGCCACTCCTGGATTCTGACATCACAGGAATATTATTTAACGCGAAATTCCAATTTCATCTTCCTTCAGGTTTCGTTCTGGTCATTGGCCTGGTGACTTTCTACCGCATTGGACCCTACACCAGCCTGTCCTGGTCTTGCTATCTGAACATTGTGGCATGTCTCTTAGCCACATTGGCTGCAGCCATCCTCATATGGAACATCCTTCATCGGCGGGAGGACTGCATGGCCCCCAGAGTCATTGTCATCAGCCGCACGCTGACCGCTCGCTTTCGGCGAGGGCTGGAGAACGACTACGTGGAGTCCCCGTGCTGAGAATATGGAGACGGAAAGAGGGAGTTGCAACCACACAGGCAGACTTAAAACAACAACAACAAAAACAACCACAACTGACTGCTTTCTTATACATAGGCGATGTAATTTAATACCCCAAATTTCACTCCTCCCTTAAGAGAAGTCCATCATTATGGGTAGTCTTCCGCTTACGACCAAAATTGAGCCTCTGGGGTTAAGAGGAGACATTTCTTCAGGGAGCTGTGCCCCGTTCTTAAGACCGTTGTTACGTTAGTAACTCGGTTATGAAGTGGATCTGGCTTCCACGTCAACTGTGCTAGTCGCAAAAGGGGGTTCCCCATGACCTTGGGAACATAGCAGCCTGGGTCATAAAAAGGAACCAGTTGCCGAGCTTTTGAATTTTGATCACGGGACGCAAAGGTCGTAGCGGTGAAAAACGGTTCTAAGTCACCGTTTTCAGTGCTGTTGTTTACTTTGACCAAAAAAAACCCCAACCCCGTTGTAAGTTGAGGACTACCTGCACTGCTTAGGTGTTCGTCTGTATCTGTCTGTCTGTCTGTCTGTCTGTCTGCCTAACTCGCTACATTATACAATGCTTTTCTTGATCCCAATGTACAGCCTAAGATATCAACAGCTCAACCATCTGGATGGGTTTTTAGCCAAAAGGAAAAGGAGTGAGGCAGAGCTAGGCTCCGACAGATTTGGGGGAGAATCTGGCAATGGGAAAAAGCAACTCTTTCTTTCAAGTCTAAGCTGTTCACATGAAAAAGTTACCAACAGATGCAAAGGCTCAGTTACAGAAATGTTCTTCCTTTGGAACCAGCCGTAAGAGCAGTCTGAAAAGAAGAAATGAGAGCTTGTTCTCTCTTTTCGCCCATTTGGTGCAACCCAGAGGGCTGTTGTTGTTGTTTTTTTAAAAAAAATTAATTTAAAGAGAATTAATTATGCAAACTGATTATTTAGCGTATGGCTCACCGTACACAGAGTAGCGATTTCTATATATGTGTGCGCGAAATTTGAGAGGCATCGAATCTGGCCAGAACAACTATTCTCGTTCTGATGCCAGTGTTCCCAAATCAAAGCCAACTGGGGATAATTGTACTGTTTTGGAAGGCTTGGCAGAAAGGCTTTTAACGGGGCATGAAATATTTAAGATTTCAGGCTTATTTGTCTTTTAAAGCCAATTTTGTAGAAACATTTCCATGCCACTTAACTCTTGATAAAGAGGTTCATTCTAAAGCTGCCGTTCTTCATCATATCTGCGTTACCCACATTAAGAAGAGTTGGCTTTTTTCCTCTTTCCATCATCCTTAGCAATTATTTAAATCGAGAATAGATGGCTGGGCGCTTTTTTTTTTCTTCTCCAAATTTGGCGCTAAATTGTAACTTTTATTTTTGCTTGAGTGCTTAAGCACTCAACCGTCATAAATATGAGTCTGAATTTGGATCAGGTGAGCAGGGAGAGGCTGCAACCTGTTGTTAAATCGAGGACTACCTGTGCTGAAATCTAAAATCAAACCAGTGCAGCTTCGGAAGGTGCTTCAATGAGGTGGGAAGACCAGCTGACTAAAATTACGGGAGGCAAGAATTTATTCCTTATTTATGGAAGGTGGGGGGGAAATCCATCAGAAATGGCTGTCAGATGAATAGATCCCTGATACCACACAAAGAATATTTGACTTTGATAGAACGTTTAGCAAAACATTGAACTAGTGAAGAATGATACTAGGGAGCTAATGACGGAGAGAAGAAAAAAAACAGATTGGATGATGAGGCTGTTGACCTAAATATTTAATGTCTCTTTCTTAGAGACTTTTGTAATATAACTGCTTCAAAACTTCGCTTTAGCTTTCCGCTTTCCATCCTTTTTTCTTCTTCAAGAGGACCCAAATTATTGGGGGTGACATGCTAACTCTGTAAACCACTTAGAGAGGGCTGTAAAGCTCCGTAAAGCGGTATATACGTCCGAGTGCTATTGCTATTCATTCAGAAAGGGAACAACGAAGCTTGCCCTTTGAGCTTCGTAGTATGACTTAATAGGACAACAAATAAAAGACATAAACAAGTATGTCACTCAGTACCTAAGCCTTAATAAGCAACCTGACCTAAAGCGGAACAAACAGGAAAGTTTGAGGAATAATTCTCGAGGAATTATTCCTATTCTGGATATAACAACTGATTTCTTTAAAACAATTGTGGGTAGCATTTTTCCTCCTTAGGTTACCCAACTGTTTAGAGGACCAAAACCCTGCTTTTAGAGAAAAAGTAATATAAGAATATGTGCAACATTTACAAACTACTTTGGCATCTTTAGCACTGTGTGTTATAGAATATATCTAGACAATAGATGTGGACAATTACGATTGAAAATAGTAAAACGGCTACCAATATAATCCTTTGGGCACCTTAATGTTGTTATAAATTCCTTTACCTACAGTATATTTCTACCTCCCAGAAGTCCTGTCCTATTAAACATGCCAACTAGGGTGAGAAAATTCACGTTGTTAGTAGACTTACGTTCCAGAGTTTACATCCCACTTCAAAGTATGCTTTGAGTCTTTTTTTTAGATTTAGAAAGCTGTCTTGCTGGGATTAAACAGACTGATTTTTTAATCACAAATTGGATTTCATTTCAACTTATCTGTCTGCTTTCTAGGAAAATTCTATAGCATAAAAATGTGCTCTAATTAACTGCCGTTTACCAAAAGATTTTAAATACTAGAATATTTAAGATGTATTATTTCTGCTAATATTGCAATAACCATCATTATAATGTGAAATTAAAAACGAATGGTTCTCCCCTGATTCCACCATTAGAGTTGAATTCGTGGTGTTTGTTTTAGACGTAGAAATAAAATTGAAACAGTAGATTTGCCTTTAAAGGAAAAAAGGAAAGAGCTAAGGAGGTTTTATATTTATATATTTTGGGGGCTGCCCCAGAAAGACCTGTCTGGCCCTTACTCCAGGAAACTCACGAGAGGGGAGGAGTTAATAGACTATCTTTTAGAAGTTAGTTACATGGCTTTTCAGTGTAAATGAAAATCGGTACATTAAGTACATGAATTTCAAGCTATAAGAAGCTTGATTGTCAATCAAAGGCTTGGATCAAGTTATTTTCCAAAACACCTGAAGGCAGAATAAGATGCAAAGGATGGAAACTAATCAAGGAGAGAAGCAACCTAGAACTAAGAAGAAATTTCCTGAAAGGGAAAACAATAAGTAGAGCGATTTGCCTCCAGAAGGGGTTGGACTAGAAGATCTCCAAGGTCCCTTCCAATTCTGTTATTCTGTCCCATATTGTCATTTTAAAAATGCTGGTATCTTTGGCTGAATATTATCGGACAACCTAGCTGTTTATATAATAAACAGCCCAATAATTAGCTTTCGTTAGTCAAATCTCCTGCATCAAGTCTATTTGCAATGTGCCATCCTAGAATAACTTTGCTGTGGGTGGAGAATAACAGAAATGTACAGGTCTTTTTTATCTAGGCAAAGAGGATCAAAGCATTCTTGAAGATCTGCAAAACATATTCCGAAGCAACCCAGGCAAACATCTCCTTGATTCACTGGTATGTGGAAAAGAAGGGAGGGGAAGCACAAATGGACTCGCCAAATTCTATTATTACATCATCTCTCAGTATAGATAGACTTCCTGTGGAGTTGATTGTTTTGTCTGGTTTACCTAATGGAACTAAAACTATGCGATAAAATTTGGGTTTCAGAGTAAGCGAAACACGAAAAGGCAGACAAAGAATGCCGTAAAAGGCAAAGTAAATGCAGCTTTCATAGCCAACGCCAGTAACACCACCTTTCTAAGATCAATTAACGCCACTGCTCTGACGTCGACTGATCTCTTTCTCTCCCAGTAATCAAGGGAATCGCACCAGAGAAAAAGAGAACTAAAGGGAAACCCCAAAACCATCCTACCTTTTGATGAGTTTGATAGCCTTGAAGGCCTCATCCATGTCTCCAATGGTTAGGTAGAAACTGAAGTTAAGCATTGCTTCGCAGGTTGTCTTGTCACATTCTTCCAGCCCGATGAAATCTCTCATCGGTCTTCTAGCCACCATCTGATGCAGCGGGATGCTGCCAGGTTCTTCCTCATCCTTTTTCTCAGCTTCCAGCTGAAAAGAAAGTACTAATTACACATGGCAAGCAAAGTATTTGTGGTGTGTGTGTGAGAGAGAGGGGGAGAGAGAGAGGGAGAGAAAGAGAGAGAGAAAGAGGGAGAGGGAAAGAGACCGAGAGAGCGATGTTGGAAGGAAGGAAGGGGAGGAAGTTATGAAGAATGGTTGCTGGAACTGGGTAGGTCTAGTTTGATGAAAAGAAGGACTAGCGGGGACATGATAGTAGTGTTCCAGTATCTCAGGGGCTGCCACAAAGAAGAGGGAGTCAAGCTATTTTCCAAAGCCCCTGAGGGCCAGAAAAGGAATAATGGATGGAGATTGATCAAGGAGAGAAGCAACTTAGAACTAAGGAGACATTTCCTGACAGTTGGAACAATTATTCAGTGGAACAACTTGCCTCCAGAAGTTGTTAAATGCTCCAACATTGGAAGTTTTTAAAAAGTTATTGGATAACCATTTGTCTGAAATGGTTTAGTCTCCTGCTTGAGCAGGGAAGATTTCCAAAGTCCTTTCCAACTCTGTTATTCTGTTATATGATAGCAACAACCTGTTCTTGATCAATAAATAATATTTATAGCTCAAGGCTGGTATTTTCGAAAGAAGCAGCAACTCGATATTCAAACCATTTTCACAATATAACTTCTCTCCATCACCAAAATATTGTATTTATCAGCAAGGGAGGCGAAGTTTTTCCTTCCAAATAATTTACTTTTCAAATGGAAGATTTTGGTTTTTTGTCTTCTTCAGGTCATTGAGCATAGAACAAACAGAAACCAACTTTTTCCTGCCTAACTTTGTGGGACAGGAGTTGTCTTCCTTTCAATAAAGCAACTTCTTGTGTCTTAATGTCTGACTGCTGAACATTTTGAACAAGTCATTTATGACTTTAAGACACATCCTGCTGTTCTAAGTGCTTAAACAGAAGGGTGGGGATTGGGTGGGCCTCGCCTAGAATAATGCCCCAGACAGCATGATACTTAGAAGAAAGAACAGGCTCCAGTGAATGGAATAAACGATTAAGTCATCCCATTATATTATTTTATTATGTGATAAGGATGAGCTAATGGTACTCAAAGGGCAGTGCGGTAAGATAACATGTGGGGCTATGGCTTAACCAATTTATAATCATCTTTAAGACTAAAGGAAACAAGTATCAACAGCATCATTGCATTCTTGTGATATAATGTGTGTGTGTGCGAGAGGGAGGAAGGAAGGGAGAGAGAGAGAGAGAGAGAGAGAGAGAGATCTTCTTGACAAGATTTCAGAAGTAGTTTGCCATTGCCTGCTTCCTAGGGCAGAGAGGGAAGGACTGGCTTAAGATTGGCCAGCTGTCTTTGTGCCTAATGCAGGACTAGAACTCACAATCTCCCAGTTTCTAGTCAGGTGCCTTTACTAAGAACCAATTTTGGCTCTAGCTGATACTTGTTACTGATCGTCATACCTTCCCTATGAACATCTGAGATCCTTGATGGTCACAGACACTAAGGAGAAGATGGTTGGTGTCATTCTCAGGACCTAATGCACAACGTGGGTACATGTTCACATACTATCCATGTGAGAACTGGAATCCGCCCTTCTCTTCATTTTCAAGATATGCTAAACTAGAAGGCATTTCCCTAAAACCCCACATTGTGACTAGTTTCACTGAGAATGAAATGAAGATTTGGAGGAACGTTTTTCCCCGGATGATGACCCAAGTTTTATTTTTTAGAAAATAGCAAAGGACAGACGTGGACAATGAAGTGGAAAAACCTGGCGTGACAAAACTAACGGAGAAAGAAAACAATAGCATTACAAATGACTTACATGAGGTTTATAGACAGAATTTCTCCAAAACAACAACTATTGGTTAGCAGAAATAAAAGAAAGAAAGAAAGAAACAGAGTGAGTGGAACAGCAAAAAATATATGTTAAAATGTATATTTTAAAAAAAGAAACAGCAACAGAACAAACACAGAGTGAAATTCACAAACCAAACTTTGTTTTTACAACGGTCATTTTTTGTTATTGTTGTTTAAAGGATCTCACCTACCACCGCCCCACTCCTGCTTGCTTTAGCTCACAGGGTACCCTATAAATTATCCCTGAAAGAATGCAACCCCAGCCAAAAAAAAAGGGCTACTCATCCTTAAATTATGGCCTGGGAAGTGATTTTTTGTTGTCCTTTTAGAAAATGTGTCACGAACTTCTTGTCAGGCATTAAGAAACAGGACCATATGTTAAGCTCGTTAAACTGATTTATTGCTCAAGTCTATGTAAAAGAATCTAGTCAACTAACAGGCAGCACTAAATTGTTATTAGTTAAGAGTCAACGGAATTCAAGAGGGACTGGACTTGGAACATTTGTGGAAACGTAATGATTATAGGCTGAGTCCTCCCTTGACTCCACCCCCAATCTCTGCCTCTTCTTCTTCTACAAATCTATATTTAAAGGGCGCACATTTATAATATAACCTATGAAGCATTCGTGCCTGAATTGATTTGTGGTCTTCCCATCCCGCTCATGTGGCTTTTTACTATTACTACAAGTACAAACAGTAATGGCAACGTCTCCTCTCACTGTTTCCCCTTTGTGCCTAAAGCACTTGAAGTGATGATGATGATAATTTAGTTTCTTCTCCTCTGTGAAGGACGATGACGACAACAAAAATCCCCTAGGGGGAATATCTCCTGGGGAGGATCTTTCTCCTTTAGGAAGATGAAAACTCTGGCAACTCACCTTTTTGGCAAAGTAATAGTGTGGCACCTCCATGCCCAGAAGAGACTGGTAAGTTGATGGCAGCTGAAAACTGTCTTGGAGCAGAAGACCATGCTCTTCGGTGCTGAAGAAAGATACTATCAGCACATCCACCTGGAAGGGGAAATGGAGCATGATTTGGGATTCATAGTAAGACATCCTTTGGTAGGTTTGTTTTTATTTTCCATTTTAATTTGGCAGAGGTTGCAGTTAAGAAACTGAAGGCACCTCTGCCACAGATGGCTGAGCTGAGAGTTTCCTCTCCTTTGGAAGACCCTAATGTGCAATGTTTTACAATGCAAAACTGGGCAGCTCTGCCATTTAGGAATCCCATGCTTTGCAATTCAACAAAGAGACTCTTGGAAAAATTAAATCTGAATTTCATCCACAGCTAGTCCTTGACTTACAACCATTCTTTTAGTGACTGTTCAAATATACAGCAGAAGCATTTACAGGCAGATAGTGTCACCTAAAGATGAGAGAATGCATTTCATTCCAGCACAGAGGAATTATTCCTTTGGCTGAGCCTGAAATTCAAGAATAACAGGAGGAACTCAGGCCAATGTATAATATGTGACACATTAAAAAAGTTCCTATGTCATATTATACTCCCCAGAATCTAATTTTAAATGATTGGACATTAGCTTTTTTTTTTCTTGATGAAGAATGACCTAAACCAGGGATCTCCAGCCTTGCAAACTTTAAGCCTGGAGAGAACTTCAACTCCCAGAATTCCCCAGCATAGCAGAGCAGAGCAGAGCAGAGCAGAGCAAAGCAAAGCAAAGCAAAGCAAAGCAAAGCAAAGCAAAGCAAAGCAAAGCAAAGCAAAGCAAAGCAAAGCAAAGCAAAGCAAAAGAATTCTGGGAGTTGAAGTCCTCCAGGCTCAAAGTTGCCACGGTTGGAGACCCCTGACCTGAACGATCTTGAATATTGATCATTTTACGATAATGCATTGAAGACTCTCACTGAAGAGCAGCCGAGTACAATGTCACAATAATACCATCTCAACGATCAAAATCTCAAAGGAAGAGAAAAGATGAACGTACCAAGTTTTCCAAGGATTCTTGCTTCTTATCCAGTGATTGTTGATTAGGGTCCAGAACGGCTTCACATACGAACAGCCTTGGTTCATTCTGATCCCAGAAGTGACTTGCAGGTATTCGGTTACACAGTACTGGATATACAGAGGTGTTTTTCCTAGGCAGACCACACAATCAAGATGGGTAAATCTAACTAGTAACCTTTAAAGGCAAAGGTTCCGCTAGTTGTTTCCGGCTCTAGGGGGCGCCGGTGCTCATCTCCGTTACAAAGCCGAAGAAGAGCCAGCGCTGTCCGAAGACATCTCCGTGGTCATGTGGCCAGTATGACTCAATACCGAAGGCGCACAGAACGCTGTTACCTTCTCACCAAAGGGGTCCCTATTGTTCTACTTGCACTTTTACATGCTTTCGAACTGCTAGGTTGGCAGAAGCTGGGACAAGTGATGGGAGCTCCCTCCATTATACAGCGCTAGGGATTCGAACTGCCAAACTGCCAACCTTTCTGATCAACAAGCTCAGCATCTTAGCCACTGAGCCACTGCATCCCCCTAGCAACATATATATGAGCAATATATATTGCCTACAAATCTAAGTAGTCCTTGACTTACAACAGTTCTTTCGGTGACTGAAATTACAATGGCACTGGAAAAAGTGACTTTATGACCATTTTTCATATTATGACTGTTGTAGGTCAGATGATCCAAACTCAGATGCTTGGCAACTAATATTGATGACGGCTGCACTCCCCCAGAGTCATGTGATCTCCTTTTGCAACCTTCTGACAAGCAAAGTCAATGGGGAAGGCAGAAGCAGCTTTAGTACAGAACAGTTGAGCTAAGCCACGCCCAGGCTCCTTGCTGTCTCCTTCTTGCTCACACAGCCCTCAATTCTCTCATACACTGATAGGACGCTAGATGAATACCGATGGATGCTGGTAGGCAGAGGCAGAATTCCTCCCCTCACCTTTATTTTCCTCCCCAAAAACTAAGCCCGACCACATAGTTTCGTAGCGAAACACGGGTACTGAGCTAGCAAACAAATAAATATCCAGCATTTGGCCCTGGAGGCATAAAAGGGCTCTGTCTGAATTCAACCAAAGAGAGTAATGTACGGTGGAGCTTTCCATGGTCCTGCAGCGACCAGCTGGCCTCCTGCTGCCTTGCCCCATTGTGTGCACTTTGGCTTGCAAACATCAGAACAATTGTACAAATGTTTCAAAGCCAATAACATCAAATAAAACAAGAGAACCATTCCTGAAATGTATCTTCCACTAGAAGAGAAAAAAAATAGACTCTCCTTTCCTCCATTCCCCCAAAAGAATAGGCCAATAAAAGAAGCCACCTTCTGAGATCACAAAAGGAATAATAATAAAATAATCAACATGACATAAAAGTTCCTCTGGGTTTATGTCTGGCACGCACCCACAACGCAGCAGGAAAGTATTCCACTAGGCATATATTCCATAAAAAAAAAGAAAAAAGAAAACTATTCCAAGATGTTCATGCTTTCTTTGAGCATTTGGTATAGAGCTTTTAATTTCACAGTGACCCCTGCTGGATCTTCCATTTTCCATTAAGAAATTACTTTTGGGTTTTTTAAAGGGTGCTCGGAATAGTTTGCAAAGCCACTTTAAGGATGCAGTTATTCTCTAAATGACAAAGCAAGAAAGGGAAAAGCTAGAATTGTCGCGGGGTAAATTTAATGTTTGTGTGAATTACTCTAAAACTAATGCAGATAAAATGAAAGCCATGAGGAACCGGCTGATTCACTCAACCATCCTACATGACAGCAGCGTATCTATCCCGCCGAGACACAAAAGTTCCTTTTAGTATAAGCCCATGTTTCTCAACTTTGGTCATTTTAAAAGGTATGGACCTCAACTCTCAGAATCCCCCAGCATGCTGGAAAGAAAAAAAAATGTAACTGCTAGAAACCAGTTTGTTGGAATCTGATTCCGAGGGGGAGATCCAGCAGCTAACAGGGAGTGGGAGTGTGACTCCGGTGGTTGTGGAAGAAACTGGGGAAGGGCACAGTCCGGCTGGGCCTTCAGTGGAAGACCCAGGCCCACCCCCTCTTCCTCCTAGGGTACACAGGGAGGAACAGAGAAGGGAGTAACATGGGCTACGGGGGAGAAAAAGGCCCTGATTCCCTCATGAGCTGCAGCTGGGAAAACAGGATTTAAAAAGGGCGTTCGCGCACAGCTCCTTGCGGGAAGCAAAACATGAATTATTTTGGTTTGTCAAGTCTCATCTGGGTTCTGGCATCCTCCCAACTGTGTGTGTTTCGTTATCTTTTGAAGTCTGCGATTCCTTACCCTGCCCTGTCTTGTTAATTGCTGCAGCGTGGACTGTGTTGGTTTTTATTTGTAATTTATATGTACTTTGGGTTTGGCCTGAATTGGGTTTGGCCTGAATTGGGCTTGTTCCTGGGAGAGTTTTTTTTCTCCAGCTGATGATAACTGGACATTGAGGGCCAAGTTGGATGAATGAAAGGGACTTCATCTACTTTTGTGCCTTTGTTCTTGTGTCATCGCAATATCTAAACAAACAATTGTAAGTCGAGGACTATTAGATTCTGCAGTATAAAAGAAATGTGCTGAATGCATGCATCAAATATATGCCATCTGTAAACCAAGCATCTATTGGCCTGTGTTCAATCAGAACTTTGTAACACTTAAATATGCAAGAGAGTAAAGATGTGAAAAGAATAAGACATGTTTTTTTTTTAAAAAAACTCATCTATATTCCACAGTACCTAACTCAAAAAGAAACGAAACCTTACACTTCAGTCTCCTGTCCGAAGGAGAGCATTTCCTTAGCGTCTCTTTGTCGACCTGACTCAAAATCAAACAGGGTGACCGTGTCCATTTCAATGTCGTAGAAACAAATCCTAGGGTCGAAACTGCCATCAGCCTATATAACAATTTTTAAAAGAGAGATGATTGATTCACTATGGGAACAGTAGCGGTAAGTGGTATTCAGCCGGTTCTGATCAGTTCTGGAGAACCAGTAGCGGAAATTTTGAGTAGTTCGGAGAACCGGCAAATCCCACCTCTGACTGGCCCTGCCAACCCCATCTCTTCTCTGCCTCCTGAGTCCCAGCTGATCGGCTGGGTCTTCTTTGGTTGCTCTGCACAGGAGAACGGAGCTGGAAAGCAGGTTAGCGGGGGGGGAATGGGGATTTTACAGTATCCTTCCCCTGCCATGCCCAGTAAGCCACGCCCACCAAGCCACACCCACAGAACCGGTAGTTAAAATTGCTATCTTCCTTCCTTCCTTCCTTCCTTCCTTCCTTCCTTCCTTCCTTCCTTCCTTCCTTCCTTCCTTCCTTCCTTCCATCCATGGTGCACAGTGGTTAGAATGCAGTATTGCAAGCTAACTCTGCCAACTGCCAGCAGTTCGAACCTGACTGATTCCAAGTGGATTCAGCCTTCCCTCCTTCCGAGGTGGGGTAAAATGAGGACCCAGATTGTTGGGGGCAAGAGGCTGACTCTGTAAACCGCTAAGAGAGGACTGTAAAGCAGTATAAAGAGGTATATAAGTCTAAACGCTCTTGCTATTGCTATCACTGCTATCATGCCACCGCTAGTCCTTCTTTTCATTAAACTGGTCATGCCCAATTCCCACAACCGTTCTTCCTATGTTTTAGCTTCCAGTTCCCTAATCATCTTTGTTGCTCTTTTCTGCACTCTTCCTATAACCTCAATGTCTTTTTTTACAGGTAATCCTCCAGTCACAAACTCAGTGGAGCCTAAAATTAATATTGCCAAGTGAAACATTTGTTAAGTGAGTTTGTCCCATTTTGTGACTTTTTTTTGCAGCAGTTATTAAATGGATCCCTGCGTTTAAGTGGGCAACATGGTTGCTCGGTGAGTCTACCCGTACATCGTGGCAACCAAAAATGGATGCCCTGTTCCAAGCGCCTTCTTACCAAGGCATTAGATCGAGTGGCATGAACTTGAGGGTTGGGTTTTCAGGTGAAAGGTGGGGTTGTTCACACCTCACCTTGCTCAGGAGAATGCTGACTCTGTTGCCGCTTGTGTTGCACTTCACGGATGCAATCCCCAGGGCGCCGGGCATCAAATCCACCAAGGCCTTGCTATTGCAATGTACCTTTGCCTCTCTGTGGGAAGACGAGACGGAACAGGTCACGTGAGCCTGTCCTGGGTTTTGTTTCCCTGAGAAACTGATAGTCAAAGATGGCATTCCAATTGGAAAGAAAGAGAAAGAAAGAAAGAAAGAAAGAAAGAAAGAAAGAAAGAAAGAAAGAAAGAAAGAAAGAAAGAAAGAAAGAAAGAGGAAAAAAGGAGGAGGAAGGAGGGAGGGAGGAAGGAAAGGAAGGAACAAGGGAGGAAGGAAGGAAGGAAAAAGAAAGAAAGAAAGAAAGAAAGAAAGAAAGAAAGAAAGAAAGAAA